ACATGATAAAATGGAATGAACTGGTTGTTGAAACGCAACAATATCTCCTTGCACTAAGCTAAGAAAACATACTGTCCTGCAAAACGATCACTAGCCGTGCCTGCGACGCCTTACAGCATTAAGCAGAGAAAGACTATAGAGAGATACACACGTCAGCTGAGTGTCATTTTATGTCATATTACATTGCATTCACTGTCAAGGTGTTCAGGAGTACAAGGACATGAACAAGCTGATAGCCTTGCAGGTAAAACTGTGGAGGTGGAACCAGAAATGAAACAGGCGGACAAATATAATTCTCTTGTAGAAGTAAGACATTTGCAAGAATCAAGTGCAGGAGTACAAGGACATGAACAAGCTGATAGCCACTGCGGGTAATGCTACTGTGGAGGTGAAACCAGCAGGCGGATAATTTTAGTTTTCTTTTAGAAGTAAGACATTTGCAAGAATCAAGCGACGACTGTAAACCTACAACCATGACCAGACTACAAGAACAGCAGATGAAAAGAGATGAAGTTACACAAGTGCACTGAGCATGGAACCAACGAAGAATAGTAAATCAGCAAAGAAGGCCAAATGAAAACTTATGGACATAATTGGTAACGTATGCTAGTAGCGTGTCTCGTTTAGTTAAAACTTACATAACTTCTCTTCCTTTCTAAATTGCTCTCTGCGAAAAAAAAAATTAAAAAAAAAAAAAAAGGATGGGAACTAGCCACCCACATCATATGGCGTTTTTGACGTCTAGATGGTAGATGTCTTTCTAAATGTTTTTCATTTGGAGTGAATTGGAGTGAATTTATCAAACCTAACCTAAGAAACAGGATGAAATTTGACCTTTTAAATGCCATCTTGACAATAAAATTCGGCCTGATAAGAGTAGGATAAGAGTTCCACTTATCAGCTCCCTGATTGAGTATTAAAAGAAATTGGAACAGCTAAAGCATACCAGAGTCATTTTGGATCTGAAGCTTCAACTTCATCATCCAAGCTAAGTTTATCCCGTGGATCTTGTAAGGCAGACTTCAGTAAAGATGAGGTCATGATTCTATAGGGTGTCATATCAATTGCTATGTAATTTGTGACTTTTTCCATTTGGATGTATTTTCTAGATGTTTTTCACGCAAATTTAGATATTTTTAGATATTTTTTACTCCGTTTTGGATGTATTTTTGTCAAAGAAAAGTGGCGACACTGCTCATATGATATAGTCTAGACCGTTGTTCTTAAACCGGTGGGTCGTGACCTACTGATGGGCTACGGAAAAGTCCAAGCAGACTGCCAACAATGTCTGTCTAATCATGTGGGATGTGTCGTTTTTCTTTTTCACAATTTACTCTCTGTAGGATTTAACGGTACTACTCACGTAAGTCACTCCATCTCGTCAGCCGCACGATTTCGTAGCGGTTCCCACAGACTGTGTTCTAGTGGT